GGTTGTTCCTGGGTGTCTCCTTGAGATTGTGTATAGTTAGGTGATAGTGGGGTGGGAAGTGAGGGACTTGCCCAGATCGCTCTGACAGGCACAGACCATGTGTGCCCATATGTGGTTGCGAGCTATGCTGGCGATGGTACATGCCTTCGGTAGGGTCGCCCATGCCAGACAGGTCAAAACCATAGGGTCAGATACATTACATTCTTGGGCAGGATGAGCCCGTTAGCCTTCTGGCAATCATCCTAGGAGAAGGACAACTCTAATCTCAAACCCGGGCAGATGGAGCTCGCTTAGCCCTGTAAGGCCATCCATCTAAGAGAAGGTCACTCTAATCAAACCTACGTCCCGAGGACCTCGCTGCCACCGTCCAAGCTCGCTTGGCCCTGGCAGATGAACCTCAGGATTAAAGGGTGGGTTCAGTTCCGCGCATACTGCATCTCACCTAAAAAATTCATTGCGCAGGCTTGAAGGCTTTACCCACATGCAAAAAGTCCTGCAGCGACGGGCGAGGGTCGAAACGGTAGGTGAAAGGTGCACTGGGAGCCGCAGACTCAACCCTGCATGCAGGCGGTTCAGGATATTGGTCATTTGAGACTGACGGAGATGAGAGTCTCTTGGGGCAGCACCCTGAACGACCAAGCAGCCTTTTCAAGGACAGCACTGCTTGCTCCACTCGGAGAGGGGCCTAGAAAAGGTGGCCTAAACAAAGCTCATCTCCACCTTCACCCGGTTGGTTAACCGCAGACCAACGGGCATCTTCTTCCAATGCGGTCGCACAAAGAGCAAAAGACAAAGGCATGCACCTGCCTCCAAAGGTGTACCCAAATTAACTCTAGCATGTTGGAACATCAGAACCATGCTCGATTCTGCGAACAGTGGGCGTCCTGAGCGACGTTCTGCCCTAATTGCCCATGAACTGGCTCGTCTCAACATCGACATTGCTGCTCTCAGCGAAGTTCGCCTTCACGAGGAAGGCAGCCTCAGAGAACATGGTGCCGGTTACACACTCTTTTGGTCAGGTAAGCCCAGAACCGAAAAACATCTCTCAGGTGTCGGTTTCATGATCAAAAACTCTATTGTCCCTAAACTCGAAAATCTGCCGACAGGTCACTCTGACCGCATTATCTCCCTACGCCTTCCACTCCACAACAAGCAACACGTTGTCATCTTCAGTATATATGCCCCAACTCTCCAAGCTGACCCTGCTGAAAAAGATAAATTTTACACTGACCTGCGCTGCCTTACCCAAAAGGTGCCCGCAGATGATAAGATCATTATCCTTGGTGATTTCAACGCCAGAGTAGGTAAGAATTTTGAAGCTTGGAAAGGAATACTAGGCAAGCATGGTGTTGGAAACTGCAATGATAATGGTCGACTTCTGCTAGAATTCTGTGCAGAGCAACAGCTTACCATAACTAACACTATCTTTCAGCAGAAAAATAGTCTGAAGACAACCTGGATGCACCCCAGGTCTAAGCATTGGCACCTCATTGATTATGTCTTGGTGCGTCGGAGAGATGTCCGCGATGTCCTCCATACCCGCGTGATGCCCAGCGCAGAATGCCAAACAGACCATCGGCTTGTGCGCTGTAAACTCAACTTCATTCTCAAATTCAAACCCAAAAGGGGCAGTATCCCAAGGAGAAGACTTCAAGTTAACAATCTCCAATCAGCCACAGTAAGAGAAAGATTCCAGACAAATCTTCAAACCAGGCTCGAAAACCATCCCACAAATCCTGCAGATTCCTCTCCTGAAACAATTTGGTATCATATTAAAAGCTGCATCCTGCAATCCTCTGAAGAATCCTTAGGGTTCTCCCTCAAGAAGAACAAGGACTGGTTTGATGAAAACAATCAAGAAATCCAGGACTTGTTGAGGAATAAGAGAACTGCCCACCAAGCACACCTTGCACTGCCATCCTGTCACGCAAGAAAAACAGCCTTTCGTCTTGCATGCAGCAAGCTTCAGCAGAAACTCCGTGTCATCCAGAACAAGTGGTGGACCGATCTAGCTGCAAAAACTCAACTATGTGCAGATACAGGGGATCACAAAGGATTCTATGAGGCCCTGAAAACAGCATATGGGCCTACGTACCAAGTCCAAAGCCCACTACTCAGTGCAGATGGTCAAACGCTTCTGACAGATAAAACCTCCATTCTGAATAGATGGTCTGAACACTTTCAGACTCTTTTCAGTACCAACCGTGTAGTACAAGACTCAGCAATTCAGTCCATCACACAACAACCGGTGAAATTCGAATTGGATACTGCCCCCACTTTAGGAGGAACCCTTAAGGCCATACAGCAGGTGAAAATCGGCAAGGCAGCTGGGGTTGATGGAATTCCACCCGAAGTCTGGAAACATGGGGGCCTTGCACTCCATGCTAAATTTCACGAGTTTGTGGTGCGCTGTTGGGAACTAGGCGAACTACCTTCAGACCTTCGTGATGCAGTCATCATCACCTTGTATAAGAAGAAAGGTACTAAATCAGACTGCTCAAATTACCGTGGTATTACTCTGCTCTCCATTGCTGGCAAAATCTTGGCAAGAATACTCCTGAACAGACTAATACCCGCTATAGCAGAAGAAATTCTACCTGAAAGTCAGTGTGGCTTCAGAGCCAACAGGAGCACCACAGACATGATATTTGTTCTCAGACAACTGCAAGAGAAGTGTAGGGAACAGAACAAAGGTCTCTATGTAACCTTTGTCGACCTCACCAAGGCTTTCGATACTGTGAGCAGAAAAGGTCTTTGGCAGATTTTGGAACGTTTAGGTTGTCCCCCCAAGTTCCTTAAAATGATCATCTCACTTCATGAGGATCAGCACGGCCAAGTCAGATATGGCAACACACTTTCTGAGCCCTTTCTAATAAAGAATGGCGTGAAACAAGGCTGCGTTCTCGCTCCTACCTTATTCACAGTCTTTTTCAGCATGATGCTCCAAAGGGTCACGGCAGACCTCGATGATCAGGACGGTATTTACATTCGATATCGTACTGATGGAAGCCTATTCAACCTAAGGCGACTGAAGGCCCACACTAAGACCCTAAACCATCTTGTCCGGGAGCTGCTTTATGCTGATGACGCTGCCCTTGTTGCCCACACAGAAGCAGCTCTGCAGCGTTTAACATCCTGCTTTGCAGATGCTGCTGAGCTCTTTGGGCTGGAAGTCAGCTTAAAGAAGACTGAAGTTCTCCATCAACCTGCACCTCAGGAAGTCCTCCATCATCCCCACATCACCATCGGCCAGTCAGAACTCAAATCAGTCCAACAGTTTAATTACTTAGGCAGCCTCATCTCCTCAGATGGTAAGATCGACGGGGAGATAGACAATAGGTTAGCAAAGGCATATAGTGCCTTTGGAAAGCTCCATAAAAGAGTCTGGCGTAATAAACACTTGAAGAAAAGTACCAAGATCAGTGTTTACAGAGCCATAGTGCTGTCTACTCTTTTATATGGTTCTGAATCATGGGTCATCTACCGCCACCACCTGCGTCTCCTAGAACGCTTCCATCAACGCTGCCTCCGCACAATCCTAAACATCCACTGGTCAGACTACGTGACCAATACATCTGTTCTTGAACAGGCAGCAATCACAAGTATTGAGGCCATGCTACTGAGAACGCAACTGCGATGGGCAGGGCACGTCTCCAGGATGAAGGACCACCGCCTCCCTAAGATCCTGCTCTATGGTGAACTTGCCACTGGCTGTCGCAAGAGAGGAGCTCCGAAGAAAAGATACAAGGACTCCTTGAAGCAACAACTCAGCCTTGGGCATATTGATCACCATAACTGGTCTACTCTGGCCTCTAATCGGGAGGCCTGGAGACAGACCATTTATAATGCTGCTGATGCTTTTGAGAAAGCACGCAGGATCACTCTTGAGGAGAAAAGACAACGCAGAAAGAATCGAGCCTTGCAGAATATACCATCTAAGGAGTCTTTCTGCTGTGTCTTTTGCAACCGGACGTGTCTATCTCGTATTGGCCTTTTTAGCCACCAACGCGCTTGCAAGAAACGTGGGTAGAGTCCTTCCCAAATCTTCGTTCGCGAAGCCTAGCCATGATGAGTCTCCCCCCATAGCTTGGAAGCTCCTCCCTGACCAAACACAGATCCCTAGTAAGATTGCAGAGTTCTTGAAAGAACACAGTTCCATCAATTCCAGAGACGACCAACTCATTGCAATGTTCTGGACCTTGGCCAACGCTTACCGCACCATTATCTTAACTGTATAACACCACCTACAGTCAGAAGGGAAGGAAAATAGTGCAGCAGGAAAACCAACAGACAGATCGCTCAGTCTCCAGCCAAATCAGAAGGGCAGGCACAGCCAGCCATCGTCCCCATGCAAAAGAGAAAGTATAAAACTAAGTCAGTACAGTCGGTTGACAAGGACGGGTAACCAGGGCCTTCACAATCAGTGGAGGAATCAGAGTCTGAGATCATCACTGAATCCCTGTCCTTAGATGTGCTGCGTAATCTGTGAAAAGATCTCACTCAACGACAAGATGAGTCCGTATTGACCTGACTGCTCCACATTTGGGACACCTCTGGTGACAGCACCATCCTGGACAGTACTGAAGCTAAACGCCTAGGATCCCTGTCCCGAGATGCAGGTATCGACCAGGGGTTCGTAAAGATGCGAGAACATCTCAGCCTCTGGAAATGCCTCCTAGTGAGTGTGAGGGAGACATACGTCTATGAAAGAGATTTGAAGGTGCAGCAAGGCTGCTGAGACACCATGGAACAGGGGATCTGTGGCAGTAGATCTGCAGTATATGAGAAACTGTTGTTTAAACATGTTTCAAAATGGCTTTTTGTAGTCTCTTTGCTAACTCACACTTCTTCTTCCCAAGACCCCCCACGGCAAGTGTTATCTCTGTCTCAGGAATGTCCTGAGAAGATATCAAGAAGTCTTCTCATTGGACCTTTTTAACTCCTTCCTATTGGTTGTTAACCCCTTCCTGTGATTGTCCTGTAAGCCCCTTGAGACTTGTAATTGGTTACTCTGTGAATCCTCCTAGGACCTATATATGTAACCAACCCGACAATAAACTCTCTCTTGCCTCCTCTCCACGCCCGGTGTGCTGTCTCTGTGGCTGCCATGGGACCTCGTGGTGGGGGGGAGGGGGGAGCACCTAACCCCTCCAGGCTCAGGACCTGAAGAAACCCCTGGTGCTGGAGTTTCCCCCTCCCTATCCACCTTCAACCGTTGGAAATGGCACCCCACAATGTGAGGAGATACAGAACTGGTGCCCCGTGGGAGGAGATCCAGAACTGGTGCCCCGTGGGAGAAGATCCAGAGGGATCCAACGACTCAGAGAGCTAGCTGTGCTTGATATACTCTTCTCCAACAATGGGCCAGACTCCAGAAGTCCTGACAACATCAGGTGTATGTTCCCGATGTGTATAAAATGAAGTGGACCAGAGATGTATGCACATTTCCTAGCCTTGCTTCAATGGTTTGATGGACAGGAAACAGTGGGCACCATGGCAAAGAAGTTGCAAGCATATGAGGATACCATCCATGTTCCATCCCGAGCCCAAGTGTCATCCATGGAAAAACTGGCTGAGGACCCCCAGAATCTCAAAGAAGAGTTCACCAATCAAATCAAAGACAGTCGCAAAAAATTTAAAGAGAAGATTAAGGAGAACAGCTTCCATGTGGCACCAGTCCAAAACAGAGCTCCTGAGGTCAGAAACAGACCGGATGGGGGAAGGGACTACTCCCCATCAATCAACTTGTGGTACTTCTTCCTTGAGCATGGAGAACACATGGATTGGTGTGACAGGAAACCTACCCGTGCCCTAGCAGCCCAAGTACAGGAACTGAAGGTTAAAGCAAATGCAAAAAGGAAGTCAGCAAGAGTGGGCGCAGTGCCAATTTCCCATGGACCAGGGCCAAGGCAAAAAAGACAGGATTATGACACATCTAACCCAGTAGAAGGTACCTCACAGATGTATTCACAGGGAGGTAGGAAGAGTTATGATGATGACAAGGATTAGAGAGGCCCTGCCTACAGCCAGGGGGAGGGAAGGGACAATAGGATCTACTGGACTGTGTGAATCCGATGGCCTGGCACATCAGAACTACAAAAATTCAAGGCTTTGGTTGACCATGCTGCTAAGTGCCACATCCAGTCTCTTTTTAAAAATCTCCAGGGACCGAGAATCCACTACTTCCCTGGGCAGCCCATTACAATGCCTGATTACCCTCTCTGTAAAGAATTTCTTTCTAACATCTAACCTAAACCTCCCATGGCACAACTTGAGATCATGCCCTCTTGTCTTGTTGACAGTTGCCTGGGAAAAGAGACCAACCCCCACCTGGCTACAACCTCCTTTCAGGTAGTTGTGGAAACTGATGAGGTCTCCCCTGAGCCTCCCCTTCGCCAGGTTGAACAACCCCAGCTCCCTCAGCCTCTCCTCATAGGACTTGTGCTTGAGTCCCTTTACCAGCCTTGTTGCCCTCCTCTGGACCTGCTCCAGCACCTCAATGTCCTTCCTGAACTGAGGGGCCCAGAACTGGACACAGTACTCGAGATGTGGCCTCACCAGCGCTGAGTACAGGGGAAGAATCACATCCTTGGACCTGTTGGTCACGCTGTTCCTGATACAGGCCAGTATGCCATTGGCCTTCTTGGCCACCTGGGCACACTGCTGGTTCATGTTCAGCTTCCTGTCAATCCAAACTCCCAGGTCCCTCTCTGCCTGGCTGCTCTCCAGCCACTCTGTCCCCAGCCTGTAGCGCTGCATGGGGTTGTTGTGGCCAAAGTGCAGGACCCGGCACTTGGCCTTGTTGAACCTCATCCCGTTGGAATCGGTCCAACTCTCCAGTCTGTTCAGGTCCCTCTGTAGAGCCCTCCTGCCTTCCGGCTGATCGACACTCCCCCCCAGCTTAGTGTCATCTGCAAATTTGCTGATGATGGACTCAATTCCCTCGTCCAGATCATCAATAAAGATATTAAACAGAACTGGGCCCAACACTGATCCCTGGGGGACACCACTAGTGACTGGTCGCCAACTGGATGCAGCACCGTTCACCACCACTCTCTGGGCCCGGCCCTCCAGCCAGTTCCTAACTCAGCTCAGAGTGCCCCTGTCCAAGTCATGGGCTGCCAGCTTTTTCAGGAGTATGCTGTGGGAGACGGTGTCAAAGGCTTTGCTGAAGTCCAGGTAGACCACATCCACAGCCTTCCCCTCATCCACCAGGCAGGTCACCTGATCATAAAAGGAGATCAGGTTGGTCAGACAGGATCTGCCCTTCCTAAACCCATGCTGGTTGGGTCTGATCCCTTGTCCTTCCTGTAGGTGCTGTGTGATTGCAGTGAGGATGATCTGCTCCATAACCTTGCCAGGCACTGAGGTCAGGCTGACGGGCCTGTAGTTTCCTGGGTCCTCCTTCCGACCCTTTTTGTGGATGGGCGTGACATTTGCCAGCTTCCAATCATCTGGGACCTCCCCAGTGAGCCAGGACTGTTGGTAGATGATGGAGAGTGGCTTGGCGAGCTCTTCCGCCAGCTCCCTCATCACCCTTGGGTGGATCCCATCTGGTCCCATAGACTTGTGGGGATCCAAGTGGCTCAGTAGGTCACTAACTGTTTCCTTCTGGATTACAGGGGGGCTTTTCAGATTCTTGTCTCTGTCTACAAGCTCCAGAAGCCAGCTGTCCTCAGGACAACCTGTCTTATTTTTGAAAACTGAGACAAAGAAGGTGTTAAATACCTCAGCCTTTTCCTCATCTTTGATAACTATATTCCCACCCATGTCCAGTAAAGAATGAAGGTTTTCCTTGCCCCTCCTTTTGCTATTGATGTATCTGTAGAAGGACTTTTTGTTATCCTTCACAGAGGTGGCGAGATTCAGTTCAAGTTGTGCCTTCATCCCCCTAATTTTCTTTCTACACGACCTAACTATATTCCCAAATTCTTCCTGAGTAGTCAGTCCTTTTTTCCATAATTGGTAGGTTCTCTTCTTTACCCTAATTTCTTTCAAAATCTCCCTGTTCAGCCAGACTGATTGTCCTCCCCACTGGCTCGCCTTTCGGCACACTGGGACAGCCTGCTCCTGTGCTTTCAAAACTTGCTTCTTGAAGTACATGTGGGACCAGAGACTATTTCCATTTATGGGGTGACAGGGGGTTCTCAAGGACTGACGGTGCTAGAAGCTGAAGTGAGTTTGACTGGGAAAGACTGGCAGAAACACCCCATCGTAACTGGCCCAGATGCCCCATGTATCCTGGGCATTGACTACCTCTGGAACGAATATTTCAAAGACCCAAAGGGACAATGATGGGCTTTTGGAATTGCTGCTGTGGAGACAGAAGGGATTAAGCTATTGAACATTTTGCCTGGACTGTCAGAAAATCCTTCTCGAAGGTGGAAGAACCACCTCGACAGTGCATCACCAGCAGTACCCAACAAATCAAGACTCTGTGATCCCCATCCACAAGATGATCCATGAGCTGGAGAGCCAAGGAGTAGTCAGCAGGACCCACTCACCCTTCAACAGCCCCATTTGGCCCGTACGTTAGTCTGATGGAGAATGGAGATTGGCTTGAATGAAGTTATCCCACTGTTGAGTGCTGCTGTACCAGACATTGGAGCTCCAGTATGAACTGGAGTCTAAGGCACCGAGGTGGTATGCCACTATTGACATTGCAAATGCATTTTTCTCCATTCCCCTAGCAGCAGAGTGTAGGTCACACTTCGCTTTCACCTGGAGGAGTGTGCAGTACATGTGCAACTGATCGCCCTGGGGTGGAAACACAGTCCCACCATCTGTCATGGACTGATTGGAAGTTGGCAAATGTCACGCCCATCCACAAAAAGGGCTGGAAGGAGGACCCAGGAAACTACAGGCCCATCAGCCTGACCTCAGTGCCTGGCAAGGTTATGGAGCAGATCATCCTAGATGCAATCACACAACACCTACAGGATGGACAAGGGATCAGACCCAGCCAGCATGGGTTTAGGAAGGGCAGATCCTGTCTGACCAACCTGATCTCCTTTTATGATCAGGTGACCCGCCTGGTGGATGAGGGGAAGGCTGTGGATGTGGTCTACCTGGACTTCAGCAAAGCCTTTGACACCATCTCCCACAGCATACTCCTGAAAAAGCTGGCAGCCCACGGCTTGGACAGGTGTGCTCTGTGCTGGGTTAGGAACTGGCTGGAGGGCCGTGTCGCAGGGTACCCTGCGACAGGGCCGGGCCCAGAGAGTGGTGGTGAACGGTGTTGTATCCAGTTGGCGGCCAGTCACTAGTGGTGTCCCCCAGGGATCAGTGTTGGGTCCAGTTCTGTTTAATATCTTTACTGATGATTTAGATGAGGGAATTGAGTCCACCATTAGGAAATTTGCAGATGATACTAAGTTGGGGGGGAGTGTCGATCAGCTGGAAGGCAGGAGGGCTCTGCAGAGGGACCTGAACAGACTGGAGAGTTGGGCTGATTCCAACGGGATGAGGTTCAACAAGGTCAAATGCCACATCCTGCACTTTGGCCGCAACAACAGGCTGGGGACAGAGTGGCTGGAGAGCAGCCAGGCAGAGAGGGACCTGGGAGTTTGGATTGACAGGAAGCTGAACATGAGCCAGCAGTGTGCCCAGGTGGCCAAGAAGGCCAATGGCATACTGGTCTGTATCAGGAACAGTGTGGCCAACAGGTCCAGAAGTGATTCTTCCCCTGTATTCAGCACTGGTGAGGCCACACCTGGAGTGCTGTGTCCAGTTCTGGGCCCCTCAGTTCAGGAAGGATATTGAAGGGTTGGAGCAGGTCCAGAGAAGAGCAACAAGGCTGGTGAAGGGACTCAAGCACATAGTCCTATGAGGAGAGGCTGAGGGAGCTGGGGTTATTTAGCCTGGAGAAGAGGAGGCTCAGGGGAGATCTCATCACTTTCCACAACTACCTGAAAGGAGGTTGTAGCCAGGTGGGGGTTGGTCTCTTCTCCCAGGCAACTATCAGTAAGACAAGAGGGCATGGTCTTAAGCTGTGCCAGGGGAGGTTTAGGTTAGCTATTAGGAAGAAATTCTTTACAGAGAGGGTAATCAGGCATTGTAATGGGCTGCCCAGGGAGGTGGTGGATTCTCCGTCCCTGGTAGTTTTTAAGATGAGACTGGATGTGGCACTTAGTGCCATGGTCTAGTAACCACAGCGCTAGTGGATCAAGGGTTGGACTTGATGATCTCGGAGGTCCTTTCCAACCTGGCTGATTCTATGATTCTATGATTCTCTGATCCAGACTGCATTAGAGAAGGGTGAAGCTCCAGAACATCTGCAGTACATTGATGACATCATCGTATAGGGGAACAGGGCAGAAGAAGTCTTTGAGAAAGGAGAAAAGATCATCCAGATTCTCCTGAAAGTCTGTTTTGGCATCAAAAAGAGTAAGGTCAAAGGGACCTGACCAAGAGATCCAGTTCCTGGGAGTAAAGTGGCAAGATGGATGATGTCAGATCCCATCAGAATTCATCAAGATCACAGCAATGTCCCCATCAACCAGGAAGAAAGAAATGCAAACTTTCCTAGGTTTCTGGAGGATGCACATCCCAGAGTACAGTCAAATTGTAAGCCCTCTCTACCTGGTAACCTGCAAGAAGAATGATTTCCACTCTGGCCCTGAACAGCAACAAGCCTTCAACCAGATCAAGCAGGACATTGCTCATGCTGTAGCTCTTGGCCAAGTCAGGACAGGACCAGAGGTGAAGAATGTGCTCTACTCTGCAACTGGGAATAATGGTCCTTCCTGGAGCCTCTGGCGGAACGGGCCTGGGAAGACTTAAGGCCAACCACTTGGATTCTGGTGCCAAGGCTACAGAGGGTCTGAAGCCAACCACACCCCGACAGAGAAGGAGATCCTAGCAGCCTATGAAAAACTTCAAGCCACCTCAGAAGTGATTGGCACGGAAGCACCGCTTCTCCTGGCACCCTGACTACCAGTGCTGGGGTGGATGTCCATGGAAAAGGTCCCCTCCACACATCAAGCCGCTGGCGTTACATGGAGTAAGTGAATTGCTTTGATCACACAGTGCGCCCATATTGGAAACCCGAATCACCCTGGGAGTTTGGAAATAATCATGAATTGGCCTGAAGGTGACAACTTTGGTCTGGCAAATGAAGAGGAAAAAGAGCAAGTGGCACGTGCTGAGGAAGCTCCACCTTACAATCAACTGCCAAAAGAAGAAACACGCTACCGTCTTTTTACTGACGGTTCCTGTCACATTGTAGGGACAAACCAAAAATGGAAAGCAGCTGTATGGAGTCCCACACAACAAGTCATAGAAGTGATTGAAGGACAAGGTGGATGGAGTCAATTTGCAGAGCTCAAAGCTTTCCAATTGGTCCTGGACATTGCTGAACAAGAGAAGTGGCCAAGACTTTACCTCTACACTGACTTTTGGATGGTAGCCAATGCTCTGTGGGGATGGTTAGACCAATGGAAGAAGGCCAATTGGAAATGCAGAGGGAAACACATCTGGGCTGCTGAAATGTGGCAAGACATTGCCACCTGAGTAGAGAAGTTGATCGTGAGAGTCCACCATGTAGATGCACACGTGCCCAAAAACTGTTGAAAGTCATAAGTCTCAATTTATTTTTAAATTTGCACTAAGTCCAGGAAAAGAGGGCTCTCTATTCCATTTAAGGTCCAGGTTTGCTGGCAACATTGTCTTAAAACCAAGACAATTATATAAAACTCTATTAAGGCTATCTTCTTAATGCATTATCTATTTGCTTATCATGAATCTGAAAATACCAGCTGAAAATAGGGCCTCATGTTACTAGGTGTGGTGGGGGGAAACAGGTGTCCCCCCCCCAGAGTTATAAAATGGTAAACCCCCAGGGAGTGGTGACCCTTGAGGTTTGACCCAACCAGCGCTCCTGAAAAATATAAACATATCACTAGACCGGAAAAGAAAGGGAGTAGTAGTTGTAGTTGGAGAAGAAGAAGCCATGTTGTGAAGCCACGAGCAGAAGGGGCAGGAGCCCCTTGGGGGCTCTGGCTCCCCCCAGCCCCTGGTTGGGGGCTACAGGGACTTGGAACAGTGTTAAAACTGGACTAAGTATCTGTAGCTGAGAGGCTGGGAGTTTTTTCTCCACCGTGGGCAGCAGCAGGAGCAGCGGCAAAAACAGCACTGACCGAGGAGAAGTGGCAGAGAGCCAAGAGATAAGGGAGAAGCAGCAGAAGCCGAGCAGAAAGACACAGAGTTGTCTGAGAGAGCTGAGAGAGAGCCAGCAGCAAAGAGCAGGACTAAGCCACTACAGAGAGAGAGTTTTGGGGGTAAGGACTTCAACCAGAACCCCCCAAACTCCTTGGAGACCTCTCCTCTCATAGAGAGGAGGGGGTGGTGGACTCCCACCTGAGAGGAGTCCTAAAATGCAGTATGCACTGCAAAGAGAGAGCTGAGAAGCTCAGGTGTCCTGAGAGCTCAGCCAGGATGGAATGTGGGGGGGGTTGACCTTGGCCCCCCCCCACTGTACTGCCAAGCTGGCAGTCTTGAGTCAGAGCACGGGAGCTCTGCAAGGGGCTTGACTCCCCTGAAGATAAGGACCGTCACAAAGACCCCTGTGCTTTGCGATATGACGTGGTGACGTGACCTTTGTCCTGGTGAACACAGCCCACGGAAGATAAGACCCTTCGCCCGCGTCGAAGGGCCGAGGGGCTTGGAGACCCCCTCGTGTGTACTGGCAGAGATCCAGCTACGACTGCTGAGAAAGAGACACTGCTGCCTTAGAGGGACTGCTGCTCAGAGAGAGGAAAGGATCTTTCCCTTCTTCCTTCCTGGACTTTTATTTGGAAGGGAGAAGAGATTTGATCCATTGTAAATACTGTATGTCATGGTAGAGATAGTTGATATTGTATGTAATGTATTATACTATTTATTTGTTGTACAGTCTTGTAATATATTCCCTTCCCCCCATTTTCAGTCTCGTGTGGTGTCTGGAAAACCAATCTCACACTGGGTTGAGATGTGGGAGGGGGGTTAGAACTCGAGAATTGGATTTTGGGGCTCTCAAACCATGACACTAGGCATGGTACAGAACTCTCTGATCAAAAGATCCTATAGTATAAACAGCAATCTAAATAATAGGGGAAAAAATCCAGATAATAAAGACCCTACTGAAATCCACTGTAAACATGGCAAAAATTCAGGCTGTGTCTACATTATCAAGAAGCGTGGACCAATAGTAGTGAATCTATAGAGCAAACCATTTGGCAATGAGTACCTGATATCCACCATATACACATTTCCAGAAACTAGAATTTTTCAGTGAACAAAGCAGGCAAAAAGGGCGTGACATGTCAGCCAGGGCGTGGCACAGCAACCAGGCACCAGTCTGTGATCATCTGGGACCAGCTAACAGAGACAGCGGACAGACACAGTAGTTGGCCCAAATGGGCACAAGGATGCCCCTTCATCCCCAGTCTTTTGTAGTGTACACTCCCTCAGCTATGGTTTTGATCCATCACAGAGCTCATTCTCTGGTAGCTGCTACAGTCACTGCACCAGCCATGTCAGAGGCTTCCATCCAGATAGACCTTCTGATGGCAGATGCAGCTCTTCAGGTTTCAGGTTGCTGGGAGTGCCTGATGCCTCTCTGTGAGGCTGGGGCTGACAGTCATTCCTTCTCCAAAAGGGGTGTTGTTGACAAGCTGTGTTGCCAGGTCAAAGAGTAACGGGAGGAAGTAAGCAGGATGTGCAGCATTTGTGAGAATGAGTGAGAGGCTGATAGGATATTCTTAGAGACCCTACAGTCTCAGGAGTCTCAATCCTCCTTTGCAGTGGAGATGCAGGTGGGCTTGGAACCACATCAAGCAGTAAGTCAAAGGTCTGTTGAACATGGAGGCTGGAAGCTGGTCACTGCCCATACATGGAGGAAAACTCCTGCTCCTCCTGAAAACTTGAAGTAGAAAATAGGTTTGGTACCTTATACAACAGATATGAGCCCCTGGAACTGGAAGAACAGATAACTGATGAGGTGGATAAAGGTCCTTCTAGGATGGAGGGGTTGCCTAGGGCAAGGCAGTCTATCCCCTGCATCATGACCACCTCTGTTAAGAAAAAAGGAAGGATAGTTGTCATAGGTGACTCCCTTCTAAGGAGAACGGAGGGCCCAATATGCCAACTGGACTCAACCCATAGGGAAGTCTGCTGCCTCCCAGGGGCCTGGGTTAGGGACATTACTAGAAAGTTCTCTAGTGTAGTACGGCCATCTGATTATTATCCACTATTGGTTCTTCCTGTTGGCAGCAACAAGATAGCAAAGAGAAATACAAGGGCAATCAAAAGGGATCTCAGGGCCTTGGGGCAATAGGTTGAAGGATGAGGAGTACAGGTAGTGTTTTCCTCTATCCTTTCAGAAGCAGGGAAAAATATTGAAAGGAACAGGCAGACCCATCAGATCAACACATGGCTCTAAGACTTGTCACTGAAAGAATTTTGGCAGTTTTGATCATGGGATGGCCTATTCAACACCTGGTCTATTGACACCTGATGGAATGTACCTTTCTCAGAGGGGGAAAAGGGGTTTTGAACAGGAGTTAGCAGGGCTTCTTGATAGAGCTTTAAACTAGATTGGAAGGGGAAAGAGGACAAAACCAGGCTTGCCCGTGATAAGCGATGGGATGGCACACCCAAGTTTGAGGGACTGAGTGCTGGTGAGATCCCTCAATCTGCTCCACAAGATGTCATCTACACTCAAAATGTTTCTATACCAACTTCTGCAGCATGAGGAACAAGCAAGAGGAGCTCGAAGCCTTGGTCCAGTCCCAGAGATCTGAGATCATTGGCATAAGCGAAACCTGGTGGGATGAGTCCAGTGACTGCAGTGCCATGTTGGATGGTTACAGGCTCTTCAGGAGGGATAGGTAGGGCAGGCAAGATGAGGGGCTGGTGTTCTATGTAATGGAGGGGCTGGAATGTATGGAGCTTGCAGTTGGCAATGGCACGGTTCAGACCCTCTGGGTAAGAATTAAGGGACAAACAAACTGTGCTGGTTTGACCCTGGCTGGATGCCAGGTGCCCACCCAAGCTGTTCTACCACTCCCCTCCTCAACTGGACAGAGGAGAGAAAATATAATGAAAGGTTCATGAGTTGAAATAAGGACATGGAGAGATCACTCACTGATTACCATCATGGGCAAAACAGACTTGACTTAGGGAAATTAGTTGTATTTATTACCAATCAGTCAGAGCAGGATAATGAGAAGTAAAACAAATCCTAGAAACACCTTCCCCTCACCCCTCCCTACTTCACAGGCTTAACTTTATCCCTAATTCTCTACCTCCTCTTCCCCTGGCAGCACAAGGGGATGGGGAATGGGGGTTATGGTCAGTTCATCACATGCTGTTTCTGCTGCTGCTTCCTTCTCAGGGAGAGGAGTCCTTCCCTTGCTCCAGTGTGGGGTCCCTCCCGCAGGAGACAGTCCTCCATGAACTTCTCCAATGTTAGTCCTTCCCATGGGCTACAGTTCTTCACGAGCTGCTCCAGCGTAGGTCCCTTTCCACAGAGTGCAGTCCTTCAGGAACAGCCTGCTCCAGAATGGGTTCCCCATGGGGTCATAAGTCCTACCAGTAAACCTGCTCTAGCGTGGGCTCCTCTCTTCACAGGGTGCAATTATATCTGCACAATAACTTTTTTCCTTCTTAAATATATAATCACAGAGGTGTTAGTACCATCTCTGATTGGCTTGGCCTTGGCCAGCTGTGGGTCTGTCTTAGAACCAGCTGGCATTGGCTCTGTCAGACACGGGAGAAGCTTTTAGCAGCTTCTTAGCAAGCCACCCCTATAGCCTCCCTGCCCACCCACTACCAGCACCTTGCCATACAAACCAAATACACAAATATTGAGTATGCCATCGTGAGAGTCTACTATAGGCCACCCAGCCAGGCTGATGACACCGATGAATTATTCTTTAAGGAACTAAGGGACACCTCTAAATCAACCGCCCTTGTCCTTATGGGGGATTTCAATGTTTACTGGAAATACCACACAGCTGGTACAAACAGGTCCAGAAGATTCTTAAAGCACCTGAATGATAACTACATGGTACAGGTACTAAGGGAGCTGACTTGGAAAGGTGCCCTCCTTGATTTGCCGCTTTTCAATAGAGAGGGTCTTGTAAGCAAAGTGATGATTGGTGGCCATCTTGGCCAGAGTGACCATGAAGCAGTCAAGTTTAAAATCTCTGGTTACAGAAGGAAAAGTATGAGGAAAACTTCAGTTCTGGATATGGGGAGAGCAGACTTCAGGTTGCTCAGGGAACTGGTTAGAAAGATCCTCTGGGAAAATGCTTTTAAAGGGGCTGGGGTCCATCAGTGCTGGTCACTTTTCAAGTACCATCTCCTAAGGGCACAGGAGCAGGCAATTCCAAAATGTTGGAAGTGAAGCAGGCAAGGCAAAAGGCCATCTTGACTGATCAGGAATCTTCTGGAGCTAAGGCAAAAAAGGAGAGTGCTTCCCAGTGGAAGCAAGGTTGGGTGACATTGGGAGGACTATAGAGATGCTGCTTGCCACTGTAGGGAGAAAACTTGTGTGGCCAAAGCTCAACTGGAGTTGAAGCTGGTCAGTACTGTAGGGGACAATAAAAAGAGCTTGTCAAACATATGTTTATAGCAAAAGGCAGAGCAGAAATAACATTGGCCCATTACTCACAAACAGGTACATAGCCAAGGCAGAGATGTTTAATGCTTTCTTTGCTTCAGTCTTCAACACTGATGACAGGTTCTGGGGGTCCCGGTGACCTGAGCTAGAGGACCATGGCTGTGAGAATGATACACTCCCAGTCTACTGAAACAGGAGCTAGGCCTAAAAGAGTTAACTGAGATATCTTGGCCTGCTAAGAAACCCCAATACCTGTTTTGCTAGAACATTTTAGGAGCACTGGTTAATATCATGTTCTGTTCTGCTCACTGGACCAAAGGCCTTATTATAGAAAGAATAGGAGTAATATGTGGAGTATTTACAAGATAATGGACACCTTGTGAACAATCCATACTGCCAGCTGAGGAGCAGTAGGCCTCACTTGACATAACTTTGGAGGTTATTAAAAGAATAGTTTATAGTTGCAAACTGTGTGAAACTCTGTGTGTTTATAGTTGTAAGTTATGGGAAAACTGTGTTTATAGTTAAAAGTTGTGGGAAACTGGAGATAAAGAGAAAACTGGAAAGTCCCTAAGGCGGATCGATAGGAGGGACTTTGGGTGGCACGAATGACGTCAGGATGCGTGGACAGAGCATCGGGACCAATGAACTAGAGGCACGAGACGTGTGCACAGACTGAGCTATCCAATTGCTTTGTTGTAATCACGTACCCGGAAAAAGCTGACTGTATAAAAGCTAACTCATTTAAATAATAAATTGAACATCGTTTGATCATATTGATCATCTGTGCGGTGTTCCTGAACTCCTGACATCGATAGTAGTACACACACAGTAATAAATTAGGTAAACTAGATGTTTGAATAAGATCTAGAAGGCCCAAAGCCAGGATTTTGCAAGCTTGAAGAATTCTGGTCACCTAATCGAAGAGGTCAAATTGAGGAAGACGTCCATGGCGACCATCAGAGGGATGAAGGCTTGAGGAGAAGACACCCACAGTAGAAGACTGCGCATGTCTGGAAAGACTCTGCCCAGAGACTAGCCTACTTATTAATATGTATAATAAATGATGTAACCATGTATCTAAAGTGTATAAAATGGCTTGCTTTTGCACTTTCAAGTCGAGCAAGTTTGTCCAGCACAAGCTGGCTTGATCCCAACATTGAATAAACAAATACCTTGCTGCTTAAAGATACAAAAGTCTCTGAGCAGTTCTTCATACCAGATTTTTCGGCATCACTACCAGCTGGATCCCTATAAATCTATATCCCTGTGATGGGATTCATCCAAGAATACTCAAAGAGGTGGTTGATGTCATCACAAGGCCTCTCTCAATGATTTTTGAATGGTC